AAGGCACCTCCGTTGAAAGGGTCAATTATAACAAACCAGCTTCTGTTGTGGAAAGGGTCCTGTGTACAGAATTATCCAATTTAGCGTATATTACTCTGCCTTCTCAAGTAAGTGTGGCAGCAGTGTGATTATCTGCCATTTGGTGAGGTTGCAGCCGTTGCAAGCCAGGTTATCACGCCTTCAGTCACCTTCGCTGTCACCTTCACATGATTGTGTCGCGGGGGAAAATTACCACCTGGCCTGAAATACGTGTGATGATAGCTGAGTAGCGAGAGGAATGACGACCTCGCTCGACTTTCAACCTCAGCACAGAGCAATTTCCAAAGCTACAGTGAAGGAGCTCTCACTCGTCTCTCTCAGCTGTTTTGGGAAACTGGAAAAACTTTAAATCACTAACGTGCACTTATCTAGTTATGTTTGCTGGGGTTAAAGACAGCTCCTGGCCCCGTCTTCTTTTTTTGTCACGAAACAGCCATTAGGGAGGATAATAAAGTCAGCTTTCAACTGGATTTCATTATGACAATTTGATCCTCTTATTTCTAGACACTGAAATTAGGCTCGATACTTCTAGATAATCTAAATGTATTGTTAGACTAAATTATTTATTAGGATTTCTTACTGAATCTGAGTCTTAAGAGCTAGAAAACTAGACGTAAGTCTTGTTCTTGTTTCCAATTATTATTATGATTATTATTATTATTATTATTATTATTATTATTATTATTATTATTATTATTATTATTATTTTATTATTATTATTGTTGTCATTATTATTTATTATTATTATTATTATTATTATTATTATTATTATTATTATTATTATTATTATTATTATTATTTTATTATTATTATTATTATTGTCATTATTATTATTATTATTATTATTATTATTATTATTATTATTATTAATATTATTATATTATTATTATTATTATTATTATTATTATTATTATTATTATTATTATTATTATTGTCATTATTACTATTAATATTATTGTCATTATTATTATTTTTAGTAGTAGTATGTTCAGGGGGAAACGCTGAAACCGTTGGGTTTATAGAGCTCCTGATTAACGGGAGGAATTCAGGGTCGAACGAAGGGTAGAACACATCTCGATTCTTTGGGTCAAGAGCCCCTAATCAACATAAATGAACCTCCTTCGAGGGGGGTTCTATTGATTAACGGTACAGTCAAACTAGGTTGTAGCCAGGGTGAAGGGTGAATCAGACACATAGATGAAATCTATTTAATAATCAACGTTTCTTCCGTATGAAACGAGAGTGGTAAGGAGTAAGTAGATAGGTTGTCAGTGAACGTAAAATGGGAATGTACAGAGTACCTGTGTATTGTGGTAGTACATTCACTATTGTATTGATTCGCTGTGCCAATGCACCAATGGTACCAACATTTTTGCATGCGTGTGTTATGGTCCCTCAGTGTTGCAGCGGGGAGGAGGCTGGAGGCAGAGATGTTGTCTGTGAGATCACGTCTGATGCGAATATCATGACCAGAAGCATGAGGTGGGAAAATACAAGTCGGTGTGGTTTTACGAAACACAGAAAGGATGAAGAGAGATAGGTTGATTAATAGATTAATAAATATGAATTGGGACGATGCGAAGGAGATTCTGAATGGTGGGTAAATAAACATCCAGGAAAGCATGGTGAGTGTGTGTTAGAGAAGTGTGGAAACCCAGTGACTTTGACAGGTTTGACGTGCTGTTGGAGTGTGCTCACGGTAATATCCCTGCCCAAGCCTTGGACTGCTTAAATACGACTTGCCACCTCGTTTTTTTACCACCAACCAAGCATAGAAGGATCGATCGCGTGTGGGACTTGAGCCATTTAATAAAAAAATATAGTTTCTCCGCGTAAAGTAGCAAGTCAGAATATACCTCGAGAGTTTACCTGGAGAGAGTTCCGGGGGTCAGCGCTCCCGCGGCCCGGTCTGTGACCAGGCCTCCTGGTGGATCAAACAGATTATAACTATTTTTTTTTTCGTTAATATTAAGAATTAATGTAACTTATAAATCAAAGAATTATCTTTAAAATAATGGTAAACAAAACCGACAAAAAAATTAAAAGGAGAAGTGGGCAACGCTTGGGTTTCTTTATTGACTAAATGTTTAAATGTTTCGCTTACTTAACAGGCGTCTTCAGTTAAAGAAATGGAATATAAAGGCAGAAACAGCTTTCCTTTCTCTCTGAGAGTTCACTCTTCACTAGTAAAGGCAGCGGTTACCTCTGTAACAAAGGTATCAGTTACATCTATAACAGAAACAGCTTTAACTTCCCCCAAAAAAAGATAACCTTAATAACATTAACAAAGAAAAGTGTAACTCCTCCAACAAAGACAATTTTTACTCCACCAACACAGAGGTAATTGGCTACTAACAAAGACACTCTCTCACCTCAGTAACAAACACAATTCTCATTGAGATAAAAGCAACTCGCACGCCAATAACAAAGACAACTCTCATTCACTAACTAACAAAACTCTAACTAACACAGAGAAATGTCATTCCTCTAACCTAAACTTAAAGACAGAATTTTACGAATTAAAAATTTTTCAAACTCGTATTTTTAAAAGAACATACTTTTAGGGTTACCTTAAAAATTCTATTTCTTAATAGCGTTTGTATGATACAAAAAAAAAAGCGAAAGGAAGCTAGAAAAGATAGGTTTAGATAATATACAAAAGCATGTATACAAAAGAATCATTAAGACAGTCTGAAATGGGGAACAAAAGTACCAATTACATGCAGGACGAAATTTTACATGATATTTCGGTCTCTTCTTAACTATTATCAAGGGACTTGTTGACGGACCAGGACTGACTGAGACGTCGTTTAGAATTTACCTTTCAAACTATTGGTTAATAATGAATTGTCCTTAGGAAAGGACAAGGCAGTATGGTAGGAAAGATGAGGCCACCGTGTGTGTGTGTGTATTCACCTGGTTGTGGTTGCAGGGGTCGAGTCCAAGCTCCTGGCCCCGCCTCTTCACTGGTCGTTACTAGGTCTCTCTTCCTGCTCCATGAGCTTTATCATACCTCTTCTTAAAGCTATGTATGAATCCTGCCTCCACTACATGACTTCCTAGTCTATTCCACTTGCTGACAACTCTGTGACTGAAGAAATACTTCCTAACATCCCCGTGAGTCATCTGAGTCTTCACCTTCCAACTGTGTCCCCTTGTTGCTGTGTCCCATCTCGGGAACATCCTGTCTCTGTCCACCTTGTCGATTCCTCTCAGTATTTTATATGTCTTTATCATGTCCCCCCCCATCTTTCCTGTCTTCCAGTATCGTCAGGTCGATTTCCCTTAACCTCTCCTCGTAGAACATACCCCCTAGCTCTGGGACTAGTCTTGTTGCAAACCTTTGCACTTTCTCTAGTTTCCTTACGTGCTTGCCTAGGTGTGGGGTTCCAAACTGGTGTTGCGTACTCCAATATGGGTCTATCGTACACAGTGTACAGGGTACTAAACGATTCATTATTAAGATATCGGAATGCTGTTCTGAGGTTTGCTAGGCGCCCATATGCTGCAGCAGATATTTGGCTGATGTGCGCCTCAGGAGATGTGCCCGGTGTTATACTCACCCCATGATCCTTTTCCTTGAGTGAGGGTTGTAGTCTCTGGCCCCCTAGACTGTACTTCGTCTGTGGTCTTCTTTGCCCTTCCCCAATCTTCATGACTTTTCACTTGGTGGGGTTGAACTCCAGGAACCAGTTGCCGGACCAGGCCTGCAGCCTGTCCAGATCCATTTGTAGTTCTGCCTGGTCCTCGTCCGACTGAATTCTTCTCATCAACTTCACATTATCTACAAACAAGGAAACTTCGGAGTCTATTCCTTCCGTCATGTAGTTCACAAATACCAGAAACAGCACCGGTCCTAGGACTGACCCCCGTGGCACCCCGCTCGTTACAGGCGCCCACTCTGACACCTCACTACGCACTTTGACTCGCTGTTGTCTTCCTGACAGGTATTCCCTGATCCATTGTAGTGCCTTCCCTGTTATCCCTGTTTTTCCCTGTGTGTGTGTGTGTGTGTGTGTGTGTGTGTGTGTGGCTGGCTGGCATGAAGGAGCTCCACACGCCATGTTATCCTGTGCACTAGCGTTCCTTCACTGCCACCCTGACACACAAGTCTTCTTTTTATTTTCCATCACGCTTGAGTAACGAGCAGCTCTCGTAATACTGATAGTCTGCAGCCAGCCAGCCAGCCAGCCAACCAGTCAGCCAGTCAGCCAGTCAGCCAGTCAGCCAGTCATCCAGTCATCCAGTCAGCCAGTCAGCCAGTCAGCCAGCTGGCAAGAGAGTCTGCCACACAAATAGCCAACTAATCAACCAAGCAACTCATCAACCAACCAACCAACCTGACAACCAGTTTTATTTTGGTGCTGTTAGGAAAGGTACCCCAAAAATAAAGTGAGGTTATTGTCACAGGGCTCCAATATCGGCCGGGGCCATTTTTATTCCCAACGACACGACTCGTTTGTCCTGACGACGTAATTTGAATATTCCATCTGTTTTCAGACTCTTCAAAGCTCATTTAGTGAGGCTGGGGCCCAGCTTGACTCACCCTGGCCATCCTTGTTAGTTCTTTACTTATGTATATTTGCATGCACACACACATTCACGTACACACACACACACACACACACACACACACACACACACACACACACAAAAAAAAAAAAATAGGTTCAGGAGAGAATGGACCTAATAGCGACCAGCAAAGAAGGGGGCCAGGAGCTGTGAATCGCCTCCTGCAGCCATATATATATATATATATATATATATATATATATATATAATATATATATATATATATATATATATTATAATATAATATATATATATATATATATATATATATATATATATATATAATGTGTGTATATGCAGGTGAGGGAATTTAAAAATGTGCCTGTGATGCCTTTGTTTAGGGAGGTGTGAAGCGTCTGTGTTACAAAATTTTTTGCGTTTCTTTGCAGAACACGACGGAGTGCGTTGGGTTGCAGCAGCAGCAGGAGTGTGTCGGGTGCGGTGACGCTGGTGACGCTTGCGGCCCTACACACCGTGACAGCCGCCTATGTCCTTGCTGGTCCGTGTTGTGTGTGTGTGTGTGTGTGTGTGTGTGTGTGTGTGTGTGTGTGTGTGTGTGTGTGTGCGTTCATTGGTCCCCCAAAAAAGTCAAATTTGTCTAGATCTTGAAATATAAAAAAACGCTAATCTTTACATTAATTTTGGCTGCAAATGTAACACATTTGACAGACGTCTAGATTATTTCGATAACCAGACAATTTCACATAGCTGAATCTGCAAGCTAAGATCTGTTATCCTACCTCAGTTTACTCCACAGTTCAGCCTTATCTAAGGCATACCACCGCCACGCAGGATGCTACCCACGACAGTCGGCTAACACTCAGGTACTGATTTAATGCTAAATAAACAGACGCGGCTGGTATAGAGAGAGTTGCTCACTCGTCTAGACCCGATTCGAGACCCGTTTCGAGATGCGTTTCTATCTTTTAAGCTACGGTCCAGGAGCTATATCTTAAGCTATGAGTCATTTGCTGTCCTCTAAGCATCACAGTTCTCTTCTGTGGAACATAGACCGCTAGTGATTCTCTTCTCCTGTGGAACATAGACCGGTAACTACTGTCAACTGATTTAGGCTGAGAACTGGAACCTACAGACATGGGAGAGGAGGAGAGACGCAGCATCCGTCAAATTTAACGCAGAATTGATCTTCACATCCACATTGCCCGCACAGCTATATTACATTATTCCTGAGTCAAGGCTTCCATTACAACGACATTTCAATCCTGGAATTGAGAATGGCTCAGGATTAACCGAAACATCGTCATAAGGTTCCTCCCTCTCCTGAGTGCGGGTTTTGGGCGATATGTTCCAGCCACGTTTTAAAATTAAATTTATTTTTTATATTCGTGGGAAGTCACTAAAACTGCACCTGAAAAATTGGGAGATAATTAGACTTGATCCAATGAAAGGGAAGATGGCTCTAATTCCTCAGGTCAAGAGCCCTTCACCCACCTCAAAGCATCCAACGTTTTGAACGGATTCCCTCTTTTAAAGGATTCCTAAATTAAAGAAATTTCCCTCCTTAAAGGGATCCCATTTCTAAGGGATGGTCCATTAAAGGATCCCCTTTCTAAGGGATACTCCATTAAAGGGATTCCTCTTTCATGAAGGGATTCCCTTTGTTGGGAATCCCCCAAATAAATGTATATCTCCTTTAAGAGACCCTCTTTTTAAAGGAGCTCCCTTTAATGGATCACTCGTGAAGATATCCCCATTAAAGGGATTCCCGTTAAAAGGATACTATATTTAATGCATCACCCTAATTAAAGAAATCTCCCCCGCAAGAGAACCCTCTTCAAGGGATCCCTTAAAAGAATCCTTCATTAAGGGACCTTCCCTTTTAAAGGATCCCTTCCTTCGGTAACAGATCCCCCTTTAAGGGACCCTCCCTTTTAAACGCCCCTTTCCCTCAATAGCAAATCCCCTTGAAAGGATGCTACATTTTAAGGGATCCTCCCTTTCAAAGGATCCTCCTCTAAGGGATCCTTGAGGGGATTCTCACTGTGAGCCTCGAGATGTTATTGTTACGTCACCTGTTCAGCCTCACTGTTTATCTCCA